GGCTTATTAGGCAAATAGGGCCTTGCATAGTAGGCCGAGTACGACGTTCTGGCTACTAGGTACAACATATATATATATATATATATATATATATATATATATATATATATATATATATATATATATATATATATATATATATATATATATATATATATATATATAGTATATTTTGGTAGCAGTCTTTCCTGTAGACATATATTATTAAATATGACCGAAAAAGTAAGATTAATAATTCTAACACGAATTTTCTCAATCTTTCGTACATTACGCTTCACTGTTGGAGGTAAATCAAAAATCAATTCTCCAAAATTCATTTTTATTTCTAGTCTGACGCGACACGGGCGCGTTTCGTAAAACTTATTACATTTTCAAAGACTTTAGTTCACAAATACACAACTGATTAGAACTTACGTATCTCCGATTTTATATCTACATTTGAGTGAGGTGGGAGGGGTGATGTGGCATTAACACAAGACAGAACAAGAGGGGATATTAATAGGGTATTAAAAGTATCAACACAAGACAGAACACAAACAATGGGTATTGAATAGAAGTGTTTGTAGAAAGCCTATTGGTCCATATTTCTTGATGCTTCTATATTGGAGCGGAGTCTTGAGGTGGGTAGAATATAGTTGTGCAATAATTGGCTGTTGATTGCTGGTGTTGACTTCTTGATGTGTAGTGCCTCGCAAACGTCAAGCCGCCTGCTATCGCTGTATCTATCGATGATTTCTGTGTTGTTTACTAGGATTTCTCTGGCGATGGTTTGGTTGTGGAAGAGATTATATGTTCCTTAATGGAGCCCTGTTGCTTATGCATCGTTAAACGCCTAGAAAGAGATGTTGTTGTCTTGCCTATATACTGGGTTTTTTGGAGCTTACAGTCCCCAAGTGGGCATTTGAAGGCATAGACGACGTTAGTCTCTTTTAAAGCGTTCTGTTTTGTGTCTGGAGAGTTTCTCATGAGTAGGCTGGCCGTTTTTCTGGTTTTATAGTAAATCGTCAGTTGTATCCTCTGATTTTTGTCTGTAGGGATAACGTTTCTATTAACAATATCTTTCAGGACCCTTTCCTCCGTTTTATGAGCTGTGGAAAAGAAGTTCCTGTAAAATAGTCTAATAGGGGGTATAGGTGTTGTGTTAGTTGTCTCTTCAGAGGTTGCATGGCTTTTCACTTTCCTTCTTATGATGTCTTCGATGAAACCATTGGAGAAGCCGTTATTGACTAGGAGCTGCCTTACCCTACAGAGTTCTTCGTCGACTTGCTTCCATTCTGAGCTGTGGCTGAGAGCACGGTCGACATATGCGTTAACAACACTCCTCTTGTACCTGTCAGGGCAGTCGCTGTTGGCATTTAGGCACATTCCTATGTTTGTTTCCTTAGTGTAGACTGCAGTGTGGAAACCTCCGCCCTCTTCCATGACTGTTACATCTAGAAAGGGCAGCTTCCCATCCTTTTCCATCTCGTAAGTGAAACGCAGCACGGAACTCTGCTCAAATGCCTCCTTCAGCTCCTGCAGATGTCTAACATCAGGTACCTGTGTAAAAATGTCGTCAACATACCTGCAGTATATGGCCGGTTTCAAGTTCATGTCGACTAAGACTTTTTGCTCGATGGTACCCATGTAGAAGTTTGCAAACAGGACACCTAGGGGAGAACCCATGGCGACCCCATCTACTTGCTTGTACATGTGCCCATCCGGGCTCAAGAAGGGTGCCTCTTTAGTACAAGCTTGGAGTAGTTTCCTCAGAATATCCTTCTTTTCCACAGCTCATAAAACGGAGGAAAGGGTCCTGAAAGATATTGTTAATAGAAACGTTATCCCTACAGACAAAAATCAGAGGATACAACTGACGATTTACTATAAAACCAGAAAAACAGCCAGCCTACTCATGAGAAACTCTCCAGACACAAAACAGAACGCTTTAAAAGAGACTAACGTCGTCTATGCCTTCAAATGCCCACTTGGGGACTGTAAGCTCCAAAAAACCCAGTATACAGGCAAGACAACAACATCTCTTTCTAGGCGTTTAACGATGCATAAGCAACAGGGCTCCATTAAGGAACATATAATCTCTTCCCACAACCAAACCATCGCCAGAGAAATCCTAGTAAACAACACAGAAATCATCGATAGATACAGCGATAGCAGGCGGCTTGACGTTTGCGAGGCACTACACATCAAGAAGTCAACACCAGCAATCAACAGCCAATTATTGCACAACTATATTCTACCCACCTCAAGACTCCGCTCCAATATAGAAGCATCAAGAAATATGGACCAATAGGCTTTCTACAAACACTTCTATTCAATACCCATTGTTTGTGTTGATACTTTTAATACCCTATTAATATCCCCTCTTGTTCTGTCTTGTGTTAATGCCACATCACCCCTCCCACCTCACTCAAATGTAGATATAAAATCGGAGATACGTAAGTTCTAATCAGTTGTGTATTTGTGAACTAAAGTCTTTGAAAATGTAATAAGTTTTACGAAACGCGCCCGTGTCGCGTCAGACTAGAAATAAAAATGAATTTTGGAGAATTGATTTTTGATTTACCTCCAACAGTGAAGCGTAATGTACGAAAGATTGAGAAAATTCGTGTTAGAATTATTAATCTTACTTTTTCGGTCATATTTAATAATATATATATATATATATATATATATATATATATATATATATATATATATATATATATATATATATATATATATATATATATATATATATATATATATATATATATATATATATATATATATATATATATATATATATACAATCTTTAGACAACAAACCCACCAGTGGGCCTCGAACCCAAAAGCACAACTACCTTCCAGTAGCTGCCATAACTAGTACGCCCTAACCCACTACACCATCAGACCCTTAAAAGAAGTAAAGACTTCGATATATATATACACCTCAAATATCTCCACTTCACAAGGGCACTAGACAAGTGAGAGGTTACAATGTGTTTTTCATCAAGCCACTGTTAATGTGGGAGAGCTCGTGTCCATGCTATAAGCCTATACTTGCTTAAACTACAAGTGAAGATTAACGATCTTTGGACAACACCCACCAGTGGGCCTCGAACCCAGAAAGGACAACTACCCTCCAGTAGCTGCCATAACTAGTACGCCTTAACATAGTAACCTCTCACTTGTCTAGTGCCCTTGGGAAGTGGAGATATTTGAGGTGTATATATATCTCTAAGTCTCTACTTCTTTTAAGGGTCTGATGGTGTAGTGGGTTAAGGTGTACTAGTTATGGCAGCTACTGGAAGGTAGTTGTGCTTTCTGGGTTCGAGGAACACTGGTGGGTGTTGTCCAAAGATTGATAATCTTCACTTGTGGTTTATGCAAGTATATATATACTTGCTTAAACCACAAAGTCTGAAGTAAGTTTATTTCTTTGTATTCATATATATACTGAACATACATTTTAATATGTCTGATTTATGTTAAGAGCAACGAGAGATTGTTGAGAGGGTTTAGGCTGTATAATTGTTCTTGATATAACAAATATCTGTTATATCAAGTTATATATTTAATAGGTGTTAAATTGATTTTTATTCATTATATAACATATATCATTGAGGTGTTTATTTGGTTTTTCATCATGATATAAAATATATGTGTTGCGGTGTTCAAAATTGATTAAGGTTATGTTTATTTTCTAATGTGATACCATATCACACTGGTGATATATTTGATCCATAATTGACTATGATATGCAGGTACAACAGTGATTAGTTTTTTAGTATTATTGATGTAAATTATTCATGTGCCATAAATGACAGTGGAATATAACTAATCAGATGAAGGATATTGTTGATGAGAAGATTTAATCATATGACCCATAAATTACATTGGCATATAAATAATCAGATGAAGGATATTCCTGATAAATGTTCTTAGTAAAAAAAATAATAAATTTGAAGTGTAGATTATTGTAATATATAACGGGATAAGTTATGACCATTTCTAGAAGACTAGAACTAGAGTGGGATAGTATTAGGATTTTTCCTGATAAAATGTTCTTTGTAAAAAAAAAAATAATAAATTTGAAGTGTAGAATTTATTGTAATATATAACGGGATAAGTTATGACCATTTCTAGAAGACTAGGATACTAGAGTGGGATAGTATTAGGATATGTATATTGATGGTATTTATTTGAGTTGCAGATAGATGTAATTAATATATAAGACATATGAAGAAATATTGGGATAAGTCCTAGTGATTAATATTGCCCCTGCCTTGTGCGACCTTGGGAGGAAACGAGATAAATTAGACTGTCTGAATATTAACTAGCTGGACAAAGTAAAGGACACTTAAGAGGAGAGGAGTTTCAGGAGGCTTAAGCTGAAGTTGCAGTGGGAGTAACTGACAATCAGGTGGTCAGTGAAATTCTCCCACGCCTCAATTTGGGAATTGCTTGAGAGGCTACGGCAAGGTAGTTGCCTCCGTCTCCCTGAGAATATTGGTGTTTTTTATGTAAGAACGTGCACCGAATCTTGTCTTTCTGGACAGATGTTAAGTCGGAGACGGCGTTAGCCCCCCGTTACATCACAATGCATCCAAGTGATCATTATAAAATGAATTTGTTTAGAACATTCTAACATTTAAACATCCAACTATTCCATTCGCGTTGTATAATGGATATCAAAACTATTTATTCCTTACAGATTTAGAATGTTTTATTACTAAATTTTAAATACTTCAGTTATTGTTAAATCTACTTTGAATCAAGTCTCAACTATTTGCATTTTGTTTTTGAATGTCCAATGCTGTTAAAAGAGTTTTACCCAAATTGTACAGTGTACCCAGATCTGTGTTTGACGTTGATGCTGAAACTCCTTTACATTTCATGAGAGCTATTTAATTGTATAAATACGTATTATTATGATATTCTTTTCTAAGTATTAAACAAAACTCAGAATTGTCATACAAACTGGCACACAATAAATAAAATTTAATGATTTCTCATTTTAGGTCAGAATGGTGTATTTTCCTTATGGTATTAAAGTGATGGTGGTGGCTGTGGCACTGGAGAGAACCACTTCTGTAGTCAACGGGAAAGTTGGTGAATCTGAGCAGGTGGGCGTGATGCTGGGTCAGGAAGTGGAGGAGGTGGGTCAGGAGATGCAGCAGGTGGGCGTGAAGATGAGTCAGTTGGTGGAGCGCCATCTCAACAGCTGTCACCTGGTGATCATCACCAATGCATATCACTCTCATGTCACCTCCACAATTGTCAGGTAAAACAAATATATATACAGTATTTATATGTTCCGGTGACTGCAAATTACACTTTTCAAAACAGGATAATTCTGATGCAGTATATATATGGCATTAATGAATACCATATTAATTTCGGTAGAGTTTCTTTCCAAGTTTATGCAATTTACAGAACAATTTTATAACTTTCAGCAAAATAAATATAAGTGCTACTATTTTCTTCAGTGCAAAAAAGTACTAAAGCTGAAGTTTTTATGCAAGCTGTATTACTTGATGAATATTGTTCGTAAATGTCCACTAACACCCTACTAGTGTTCCTTAATTAATCCTTAAATTAATGATAATCACACAACATGCAGGAGACCATATTAATTAAGGCTCCCAGCGAGGCACTCTGGACCAGTAGTAACACCATCCTTGTGCATGCTTATTGTGTCTCACAGAGTAGCACTTCTTGACCTTGTCACCTCTCGTGACCTTCACCACCCCTACGTTTTGTTTGTAGGCTTCTGAGACCGGCCACAGTGGTGAGCTCAGTTACTGTTTACTAGAGAGACCAGCCACAGTGGTGCGTTCAGTTACTGTTGGCTAGTGAGACTGGTTACAGTGGTGCGTTCAGTTACTGTTGGCTAGTGAGACTGGTTACAGTGGTGCGTTCAGTTACTGTTGGCTAGTGAGACTGGTTACAGTGGTGCGTTCAGTTACTGTTGGCTAGTGAGACTGGTTACAGTGGTGCGTTCAGTTACTGTTGGCTAGTGAGACCGACCACAGTAGTGAGCACAGTTACTGTTGGGTATTGAGACCTGCCACTGTTCTCGATATTACTAGTCACCAGTACTTGTGATCGCTACTGTTGCTGGTGTCACTAGCCAACAGAAACTGAGCTCACCCCTGTGGCAATGTCATCAGAAATTGTCCAGCAGTAAAAATCACTATGTTTAGGTCACACAGCCTAATCTTGCTGTGGTTGTTTAAATCCCTCTTTGCAGGTCTTCTGAGAAGGAAAACTGCCATTTAATATTTGATGAAAGATACTTTTTAACTCGAACATTCGTCATGCATTCCTTCAATTGAACACAATGGACTTAGCCAATATCTTTCTTTCCTTCCTTTCACAATAATGGATGGGAACTAAACTATATGTGAGGCCTTTCACTTCAGGCACATCGCTATGGACTTGCAGTCAAGCATTATCGTGGACGTAGAGTCAATCGTCTCCAATGATCTTCAACCCGAAATGGATTACCAGGAGCACGAGTCTTTTGCACCACCAATCAATCCACCATTTTGGAAGCAGACATCACAAAGCCAAGCAACCGAGAATCATCCACATCGCCCCCAAGCAGCACAGGAGGAGCTCGCACGAGACAACCTCCTCCAGGGGCTGTGGGGGGACTCAAGAACCACCTGCCGGGGTCTTATTCTCGACCTCACCTCCAGCAGCAACACCACTCATCTCGCCCTCAGGTACGAGATATGTATATCCTTTATATTAGACATATATCACAAGAAAACAATGAATGTTAAATTAATTGGTATTTACTTACATTTATCAAGACATACATCTTTTAAAGGTTACAGAACTGATCTTGCCCACATCATGGGCAAGATCACTTGTCACCTCTCGTTCTCGTCTTCTCTTGATCATATGCCTCGCATTCTTTTGCAAAGTCCATTCTATCCAGCGGTCGACCCCAAAGACATATTCATCAATTTTAACATGCTGTTCATTCAAAATAGGAATTTTCCCAAATATAAATTAATATTCTCATATATAAGTATATTATGCATTTTTAAAAATTGGTTAGGTTAGGTTAGGTGTTCAGGTTCTGTGGGCGATAATTTGTATGTGTAGAACAGTCGAGGAAAAGCATTCATTTACCCCCTCAAATCTGTGGAACGTGCGAAATGACAACGCCACGCTAGTTGTTGTTGTTGTTCTAATAATGGGTTAGATTACAAATAAATATGGCTTTGTAACGAGTCTCATTAGTCAAAACACCTCACAGCTGTCTATGTAATTCACATATCTATCAAAAGGAATATAGAATTGAGCAGAGGATATAAATGGACATATGTAGATTACAGACAAAGGAAGATGGCTCTACTTTTCTGCTGTAGCGTTTACTGACCTTTTATGTAACACGCAGAGACAGACACACAGAGACAGACACACAGAGACACATGGACACAGATACACAGACACAAACACACTTGGATACAGAGACACACAGGCACAGACACACAGAGACACACACCAACAGGGGAGGGGGGGGGGGGGGTGGGCTGTGGCTGAGTGGACAGGACTTGGGGCTCGTAATTCTAGGGTCCGGGTTCGATCCGAGGCGATGGCGGAAAAACTAATAGGCAGAATTGCTTTCACTCTGATGCCCTGTTGAACTAAATAGGTACCTAGCAGTACCTATTAGCAGTAAATTGGTACCTGTGAGTTAGACTGCTGTTACGGGCTGCTACTTGTACTCACCTAATTGTGCTTGCGGGGGTTGAGCTCTGGCTCTTTGGTCCCGACTCTCAACCGTCAATCAACAGGGAAACACACCAACAACACAAGCACACACACACACACACACACACACACACACACACACACACACACACACACCACACACACACACACACACACACACACACACACACACAACACACACACACACACACACACCACACACACACACACACACACACACACACACACACACACACACACACACACACACACACACACACACACACACACACACGACAGACACCCAACACCCCTACCCCTGTCAGCCCCCACTAAGTACCCACCTAGGGCACCCTCCCACCTCCTCCCACTCACCCCTCTCCCCAGGACCTCCCTTCTCCCCTCTCCCACATGCCTTCCCGTCTCTCCCACCCCCAAGCCCTCCGCTCTCCCCCGCCCCCCTAAGCCCCCACTGTCCCCCACCCCACCTAAGTCTTCCCCTCTCCACCACTCCCCTAAACCCTCCCCTCTTCCTCACCCACCTCAGCCCTCCTTTTCCCCCCACGCCCCCCAAGCCCTCCTCCCTCTTCTCCCCCCCCCCCCAAAGCCCCCCCATCTCCTCTATCCCCCAAAGCCTCTCCTCCCCCCATGCTCCCCCAACCCTCCCCCTCTCACCCCCCAACCCTCCTCCTCTCATTCTCCCCCCAACCCTCCCCCTCTCACTCTCCCCCCTACCCTCCCCCTCTCACTCACCCCTTACCCTCCCCCTCTCCCCCTCCCACCCAAGTCTTCCCTCCTCCACCAGTCTCCCCGTACCAGATCCCCCCAGCTCCCACTGGGGAGCTGGGGGATCTTACTCACCCCAGATCTTACAGGTCCCCCCAGAGGAGAAGCAGAAGAGAGTCAGTTTCAGGGTGATGTACTCGAACATAGATGGGATCACAAGCAAGACAAGTGAACTAAGGGAAAGAGCACAAGAAGTGAACCCAGATGTAATCGGATTCACTGAAACAAAACAATTCACTTAATCATAACGAATACCGTGTTTCCCCAGGAGTACACAGTAATAAGGAAAGAGAGGGAAGGTAGGGGAGGAGGCGGAGTGGCCCTACTCATGAGAAAGGAATGGAGTTTTAAGGAGATGGCTATACCTGGCTGTGGGGGTTTCAGAGACTACATAGCAGGCAACATGACAATGGGAGGACCAAGAATAGTAGTAGCAGTAATATACAACCCTCCACCAAATGACAGAAGACCCAGTCAAGAGTATGACAACAACATGGCAGTTAACACTGTAATTGAGAGGGCAGCCTCTGCTGCCTGTAGAAATAAATCCCACCTGCTCATCATGAGCGACTTCAACCACGGAAGGATTGACTGGGAAAACAAGGAACCACATGGAGGCGAGGATACGTGGAGAGCCCAACAATTGGAGGTGGTGACTAGAAACGTTTTAACCCAGCATGACAGAGAACCCACAAGGATGAGAGGCAATGACGAACCAGCGAGACTCGACCTAGTCTTCACTCTGAACGACTCCGACATAAGAGAAATCGGTTTTGAGGACCCAGTAGGAATGAGCGACCACAGTGTACTGGTGTTTGAGTACCTGATTGAAGAAGGGTTATTGAACTCGAGGAGGGATACCGAAACCAAAAGATTAGCATACCGAAAGAGAAACTATGAGGGGATAAGAAAATTCCTAACAGATATAGCATGGGAAACAGAGCTCAGGGGAAAGACGGCCCAAGATATGATGGATTACATCACGCATAAGTGCAAGGAAGCAGCAAACAAGTTTGTCCCAGTCCAAAAGGAAAACAGAGAAATGAAGATGAGAAACCCATGGTTTAATCAGAGATGTATGCTAGCTAAGCAGCAAAGTAAAAGGGCATGGAGAAACTATAGGAATAACAGGACACTGGAGAGCAGAGAAAGATACCAGAATGCCAGGAATGAATATGTCAGGATGAGAAGATAGGCAGAAAGACAATACGAAAATGACATCGCAAGCAAGGCAAAGACTCAGCCTAAATTGTTGCATAGCCACATCAGGAGAAAAACAACAGTAAAGGAACAGGTTATGAAATTAACGATAGGGGCGGAAGGATTCACTACAAATGACAAGGAAGTGTGTGTGGAACTGAATAAGAAATTCCAGGAGGTTTTCACCTTAGAGCAAGGAGAAATTCCAGAGATAAGAGAGGGAATAGATAACCAGGAACCACTGGAAGAGTTTGAGATTACCAGCGGGGAAGTAAGGAAGTGTTTACTAGAGTTGGATGTGACAAAGGCTATAGGCCCAGATGGAATCTCCCCTAGGATACTAAAGGAAGGAGCAATAGAACTGTGCCTACCACTCTCCATAGCGTATAACAAATCACTGGCAACAGGGGAACTGCCAGATATTTGGAAAGCAGCTAACATAGTCCCGATATACAAGAAAGGGGATAGACAGGAGGCACTGAACTACAGGCCAGTGTCCCTAACCTGCATACCATGCAAGCTGTTGGAGAAGATTGTGCGAAGAAAGCTAGAGGTGCATCTGGAGCGAAGGAACTTTGTAACACAGCATCATCATGGGTTCAGGGATGGCAGGTCCTGCCTCACAGGGTTACTTGAATTCTACGACCAGGCAACAAAAATAAGGCAAGGAAGAGAAGAGTTGGCAGACTGCATATTTTTGGATTGTCAGAAATCCTTTGAACCAGTACCACACAATAGGCTAGTGAAAAAGCTGGAGATGCAGGCTGGAGTGAAAGGGAAGGTACTCCACTGGATAAAGGAGTACCTAAGCAACAGGAGACAACGAGTCTGTGTGAGGGGTGAAGTCTCAGATTGGCGAGATGTTAGAAGTGGAGTCCCTCATGGGTCGGTCCTTGGGCCTATACTGTTTCTGGTATATGTAAATGATTTCCAAGAGGGTATAGATTCGTTTCTCTCAATGTTTGCCGATGATGCCAAAATTATGAGGAGGATTTAAACAGAGGATGATAGTAGGAGGCTACAAGATGACCTAGACAAACTGAGTGAATGGTCCAAAAAATGGCTGTTGAAGTTCAACCCGAGTAAATGCAAAGTAATGAAACTAGGCAGTGGAAACAGGAGGCCATACACAGGATACAGAATAGGAGATGAAATACTTAATGAAACAGACAGAGAGAAAGATCTTGGAGTTGATATCACACCAAACCTGTCTCCTGAAGCCCACATAAAAAGAATAACGTCTGCGACATATGCGAGGCTGGCTAACATCAGAACAGCGTTCAGGAACCAGTGTAAGGAATCATTCAGAATCTTGATCACCACATATGTAAGACCAATCCTGGAGTATGCGGCCCCAGCATGGAGCCCGTACCTTGTCAAGCACAAGACGAAGCTGGAAAAAGTCCAAAGGTATGCTACTTGACTAGTCCCAGAACTAGTTATGAGTTACCCAGGCATGAGTTACGAGGAAAGGCTGCGGGAAATGCACCTTACGGCACTGGAAGACAGAAGAGTAAGGGGGGACATGATCACAACCTACAAAATCCTCAGGGGAATCGACCTGGCAAACAAGGGAAAAATATTCAACACTGGCGGGATGCGAACAAGGGGACACAGGTGGAAACTGAGTACCCACATGAGCCATAGGGACGTAAGAAGGAACTTTTTCAGTGACAGAGTAGATAACGGATGGAATGCATTAGGCAGTGATATGGTGGAGGCTGACTCCATACACAGTATTTAATGTAGATATGATAGAGCCCATTAGGCTCAGGAACCTTTACACCAGTTGATTGATCTATTGAGAGGCGGGACCAAAGAGCCAAAGCTTAACCCCCGCAAGCACAAATAGGTGAGTACACGCACACACACACAGTGTGTGTGTGTGTGTGTATACTCACCTAATTGTACTCACCTAATTGTGCTTGTGGGGGTTCAGTTCTGGTTCTTTGGTCCCGCCTCTCAACCGTCAATCAACAGGTGTACAGGTTGCTGAGCCTATTGGGCTCTATCATATCTACACTTGAAACTGTATATGGAGTCAGCCTCCATGACATCACTTCCTAATGCATTCCATTGTCAACCACTCTGACACTAAAAAAGTTCTTTCTAATATCTCTGTGGCTCATTTGGGCACTCAGTTTCCACCTGTGTCCCTTAATGCGTGTGCCCCTTGTGTTAAATAGCCTGTCTTTATCTACCCTATCTACCCTACTTCTGAATGATTTCTTACACAAGTTACTGAATGCCGTTCTTATGTTGGCCAGCCTGGCATATGCCGCTGAGAATTTTGAATGTAGTGATCATGTCCCCCCTAACTCTTCTGTCTTCCAGCGAAGTAAGGTTTAATTCCAGTAGTCTCTCCTCGTAGCTCATACCTCTCAGCTCTGGTACTAGTCTGGTGGCAAACCTTTGAACCTTTTCCAGTTTAGTCTTATCCTTGACTAGATATGGACTCCATGCTGGGCTGCATACTCCCGGATTGGCCTGACATATGTGGTATACAAAGTTCTGAATGAATCCTTACACAAGTTACTGAATGCCGTTCTTATGTTGGCCAGCCTGGCATATGCCGCTGATGTTATCCTCTTGATATGGGCTGCAGGGGACAGGTCTGGCGAGATGTCAACCCCCAAGTCTTTTTCTCTCTCTCTGACTCTTGAAGAATTTCATCTCCCAAATGATACCTAGTATCTGGCCTCTTTCTCCCTACACCTATCTTCATTACATTTCATTTGCTTGGGTTAAACTCTAACAACCATTTGTTTAACCATTCCTTCAGCTTGTCTAGGTCTTCTTGAAGCCTCAAGCAGTCCTCCTCTGTCTTAATCTTTCTCATAATTTTGGGATCGCCAGCAAACATTGAGAGAAAGGAATCTATTCCCTCCGGGAGGTCATTTACATATATCAGAAACAAGATAGGATCGAGTACAGAGCCCTGCGGGACTCCACTGGTGACTTCACGCCAATCTGAGGTCTCACTCCTCACTGTAACTCTCTGCTTCCTATTGCTTAGGTACTCTCTTATCAACTGGAATACCTTCTCAGCTACACCTGCCTGTCTCTCCAGCTTATGTACCAGCCTCTTATGCGGCACTGTGTCAAAAGCTTTCCGACAATCCAAGAAAATGCAATCCGTCCAGCCTTCTCTTTCTTGCGTAATCTTTGTCACCTGGTCGTAGAATTCTATTAAGCCTGTCAGGCCCGATTTGCCCTCCCTGAACCCCTGTTGGCGACTTGTCACGAAGTCCCTTCTCTCCAGATGAGTTACTAGGTTTTTTCTCACGATCTTCTCCATCACCTTGCATGGTATACAAGTCAAGGACACTGGCCTGTAGTTCAGTGCCTCTTGCCTGTCTCCCTTTTTGCATATTGGGACCACATTCGCCGTTTTCCATATATCTGGTAGGTCTCCCGTTTCCAGTAACCTACTATCCACTATGGAGAGTGGCAAGCAAGGTGCCTCTGCACACTCTTTCAGTACCCATTGTGAGATCCCATCTGGACCAACAGCCTTTCTAACATCCAGATCCAGCAGGTGTCTCTTGACCTCCTCACTCGTAATTTCGAACCCTTCCAAGGCCGCCTGGCTTACTTCCCTTTCTCCTAGCACAGTGACCTCACCTTGTTCTATTGTGAAAACCTCCTGGAACCTCTTGTTGACTTCATCACACACCTCTCTGTCATTCTCTGTATACCTGTCCTCGCCTTTTCTAGGTTTCGTTACCTGTTCTTTCACTGTTGTTTTCCTCCTGATGTGACTATGGAGTAGCTTTGGTTCGGTCTTGGCTTTGTTTGCTATATCATTTTCATAACTTTTCTCTGCTTCTCTTCTCATCCTGACATACTCATTCCTGGTTCTCTGGTATCTCTCTCTGCTTTCTGGTGCTCTGTTATTCCGGAAGTTCCTCCACGCTCTTTTGATCAGTTTCTTTGCTTCCATATATGCCCTATTATACCATGGATTCTTCTGTTGCTTCTCGGATTTTTTCCTTTGTGAATTAATATGGGAATTAATTCTCACGGACATAGGCCCTCATTTTGTTAAGGCCTCTAACATCTGCGTATGATTCCTCTGCTTTTTCAGTTGTAAAATTTAATTATATACGGCTTTGCCTATTACAATCGTATAGTGTAAAATGAGACCACTGCTTAACAAGTAAAGCAATATACTTAATGTAAGCATAACAAAGAAACAATAACATAAAATTCAAGCATTAGGTATCTCTAGAAATGTTTAACTGCAATAATGAGGTGTAATCACACATAATAAGCACTGATCAAGTGAGTATGAATAAATGGATATACTAATATAAATCTACCAGATACATAGCTATGTTAATTGAGCAAAAACAAGCTCCACAGACTTATCTACTATATTGCAGATCCTCTCCAGCCAGTTCCACCCACGCGACTGGCGTGCTAAAGCCTGCTTGGCATGGTGTTTACAAGTTACCAAAATAGATCACACAAAATTACTCTCAGATACTCTGCTAGCCGAGAGCAATACTTATGAACATATTTATAAATATAGTTATATATATTTAACACTACTAAGGTGTAATTAAAAAAAAATGTACATACAAGAACAATGAATAATTACAAAAGGGCATCAGGATGACAGGTTGGATACACTGCTGGCATCATTGGAGGCTCTATATAAGGGCATCCCCCTTATGGGATGTCACTGTCCCCACACACATGGATAAACATGTAATAATAACAAAGAAATATATCCTACAAGCACACTACAGTATGCTATAGTTAACTCAAACCGTAATTACAAGAAAACAAATGGACATTATTTTATCTCCCAATAACTGAGGAAAGATTATAGGAACATAAATGCTTTATCATTATAAATGTCATGTCAAGTATTATTGATTCATAACACCTAGTAAAATAAATGGCCAATGGCAAAGCCTTAGTAACATTATTGACTGAAAGGTGAGATTATGTTAACCTATTTGATGGTAAATCTTCATTAAATTAGTAATACAGTGCTTGCATGAATATTATTTACTCAGGGTAGGGAAGAGCATGTGCATGCACAGCAGACATCATGACTTCCTTTAAAATCTCAACACACATGTCAGCACTGAAGCGTCCTTGAATATCAGCAAGTTCTCCTGCGTCCTGCGCCATATAAATGAATCCAACCCCCATAAACTGGACAATATGTAACCTCTCTTAACAATTCAATATATAAAGTGCATTTTATATCGTGTGCTGTTCGGACGCCAACAGTGTAATCTGCCATGAGTCGCTGACGTGAATGTCTTCTCATCACTGAAGATTACTTATACCCAGTAATCGAGATATTCAGTGACATATCTACTGGCAAAAACCAATCTTGCTTCTCTACGACACTCTTGAGGTTTACCTTTTTTGACTGCACTCTAGTGAACGATGTCGGCTTCATGAAGTCGGTTTCGCACTGTGTGTCCAGATACCTCTATGAAGACGATGAATCACAATAATGTGGCTGAAGATATGTTGATCTAACCACACACCAGAAGATGAGGAGACGACGACGTTTCGGTCCGTCCTGGATCATTATCAAGTCGATTGTGATGGGAGCGAGGGAGGGAGGCACAGGAGAGTCAATAGTGAAGTGAGGAGCGGGTGAGAGGAGGTAGAAGTAGAGATCAAGGCGAAAGGGTAAGAACAAGAAAAAAAACGGGTACGGAGGGGATAGTTGTAATAAAAGGGTGTCGGAAGAAAGGGAATGTAAGAATAAGAGGAATCTGCAACATTGAAACCCAGAGAAAATAAGAATAAAATGGGTCGGGCCGCGCGGTCCGACTCGGGGAAAGACCGGCTCCCGGTTTAACGTGGAGCCCCAGCCCATTTTACTAATTTTACTCTGGATTTTAATGTTGCCTATCGAATGCAGAGGTGTAGTTGAGCATGAACGTACAAGAGGTCATGATGCCAAAGAATAAAAAATGATGCAGAGTACTTGCAAAGCATAGAAATTGCTTTCACAGAAAGAGATTATAATAGGCTTCGAATATTTAGACAAGTCTTATGACTAACCTTCATTAGGTGAAAGTTAGTTAGTAAGATCACTAAGTAGGTGAGTAAAAAGATGAAAATCATAAAAAATGCATAATATTTTGTTGGAAACATTGATTTGCATACGAAATGATGACCTTATTAGTGAAATTATTAATACAATGTTGGGTGGAGACTTTTCTTCTTTGAAGATGAAAAACTATATAAAGTTAATTTTGAGAGTAGTCGAAGATGGACTATGATAGATGAGAATGACAAAATCAACACTTTGAATTAGCAATATGGTAATGTAATTCTTCCCCCCCCCCTCCCCCCAAAAAAACGCCTTACAAAACATCAGTTTCTGATATGTGGAAAAAGATGTGAGTTAGTTGACCAAACTAAGTTTATGTAGTTTAATAAAGTGCCTTAGTTTCACATTCACTTTCCAGAGTGTGATAGTTTTCAGAGTGACTTAGTTTTCAGAATGACTTAGGGGGCATAATTTTAAAATATGCAAATATATGCAATAAATTAAAACTGTTTCGATTTCAGTCAAACTTTTTTGACTAGTTGTATATGAAAACAGCTTCAACTGGTCCGAGTCTCAGTATCGTAGCTTAAATAGGAGGGGAGAAAAAAAATATTTAATTGTTTCATCAATTTTTCAAAATGTAAAAAAAAATTAACATCAAACACACGTGTCAACTGAAATCATGTCTTTGACTCTCAGCTATCATAATAGCATATAAAGAAAATATAATTAGTTTTATAAAAAAAAAATAAAAAAAAAAAATTTGTCAAACTTTTTTCTCATCTTGTATCAGAAAATGTTCATGAAACGTATACACCTGACTGCACATAAGCCTATCTGTATGGGTGACAATTTTGGAGGAAATTGGATGATGTCAACCTCAGTCAAAGGTGGTAGCATCTTGTACTTCATTTCTTTGCAAGTAACATAAAAGTGACTCTACTCTTTCGTTTTTTATTCAATTTACAGGAAACTTACACCTTATATGTAGAGGTTATATCTCTACAATATGATTAAGTTATTATTTTCCTAAGTTCATTATTGATTTTATAAATAGTTATAAACTTGATATATTTGAGTAAATTTAGGAGGAACTTTGACTATTTGCATTAGTAAAATTAAACATATTTTGGATAATCTGGTTAGACAAATCCTTTATTATATGTTAATGTGATAGATGAGTGTTGTAGAAATGATTTAATTTGAAACTTGTGGATGTATAGTATTTTTGAAAATTTGTAAAATCGTTGAAAAAAAATCTCCCTTTCTATTTAAGCTGCGATACTGAAACGTGGAACAGTTGCATCTCTTTTCATATACAACTAGTCAAAACAGTTTGGTTGACATTAAACAACTTTTAATATTCAAAGTTATGCCTCATTAAGTTGTTCAGAATGACTTGGTTGATCATATTGAGTTAGATGTTCAGAACTACTTAGTTTTTCAGAGTGAGTTAGTATCTCACACTGAGTTAGTATACCAAATGAGTTAGTTTATCAAAGTGCGATACTTTTTTTTAAAATGAGATAGATCTTCGGTGTGCCTCAGTTTTCAGTGTGACTGAATTATTCAGAGTGACATATTTTTTTCAAAGTGAGTAGTTTTTCAGAGAGACATTCTTTTCAGAGTGACTAAATTTTTTTCAGAGAGATTTAGTTTTCAGTGATTTAGTTTTTTCAGAAAGATTTATTTTTTCAGTGAGATTTAGTTTTTCAATGTGATTTAGTTTTCAGAGTGAATTACTTTTCAGCCTAGCATTGATGATCAGAGTTAATTAGATGTACAGAATGTCATAGGTCATCAAGTGAGTTAGTTTTAAAAGCGAGATTTTTTTTCAGTCACTTACTTTTTTTCAGCCAGACCTACTTTCTCAGTTTGACTTAGTTGATCAGAGAGACAGTTTGGCAGAGTAAGAAAATATTTCACTGACTGTTTCCAGAGTGTGATAGTTTTCAGAGTGACAGAGTTTTCAGAGTGGTATATTTTTTCAGAGTAAGTTAGTTGTTCAGAGTGAGTTGGTTGTTCAGAGTGAGTTAGTTGTTCAGAGTGAGTTAGTTGTTCAGAGTGAGTTAGTTGTTCAGAG